AACAAATCTGGTTGGTTTCAGTTTACAGGGATGTGTTCAAACATTTTTTTCCCATTTCGGTCTACATGAGTCCATGCCTCCCAGGCCAGATCCTCAGCTGAGATAAATTGTCCCTAGGACCACCAACCTCAGCACAAAACTGAATCTTCTGCTGGCATTTGCCCCCAGGGAATCAAGCCCTTCGCCTTCTTTAGTGCAGAGATGCCCAGAAGCAGCTCCATTGGGGGAATTCTCTCCAGCTTTGCTTTGCTTTCTTAAATAGCTGGAAAAGTGCATTATTTTTGCATTAAAAATTCATTTCAGAACAGCTAGTTTTCATAAGGTGTAATTAAGTGAGTTCTCCTCCTCCATTAGCTGTCCCCAGAGTTTACAGGGATCGTTCTCTTCTCTTTTCCTCTTCATTTCACTCTCTTTTAATCCTTTTACAACTCACTTCAGCGTCCCAGGAGCCTGAGGAGGCCAGATCCTTGCCTGGTCTAAATTGAAGCCACGCAGCACAAATGAAGAGAGCTATGGCAATGTGTACCAGTTAAAGACATGGCCCAGTATTCCACCAGTGATCTAAAACTGGAAGGGGCCACTTGGGTCACCCAGTCAGTCACGTTCAGTCCCTTGCTGTTGCAGACAGTGTTCCAGAGCCTCTCGCACAGCCTGATTGCGTCCCATCTTAGAAGGCTACTGGAAGGCTATTCCAGGTCCCCTCTGCTCTGATGGTTAGAAACCTTCTGTTTTTCATATCAGAATTGATCCCTAGCCACTTTCTATCCATTTGTTCTTGTGCCAACATGCTTTTTTAGCTTACATAGTTTTTTTCTCTCCTCAACAATATATAGATTCATAGATTCATAGACTTCAGGGCTGGAAGGGACCTTGAAGATCATAAAGTCCAGCCCCCTGCCCCAGGGGCAGGAAGTCAGCTAGGGTCAAAGGACCCCAGCAAGATAAGCATCCAAACATTTCTTGAATGAGTCCAGAGTAGGTGCCTACACCACTTCTGGAGGGAGTCTATTCCAGGCCTTGGGGACTCGGACAGTAAAGAAATTTTCCTCATGTCCAGCCTAAAATGGTCTTGGAGGAGTTTATGACCATTGGTCCTTGTTATCCCTCGGGGCGTTCTGGTGAACAGACGTTCTCCCAGGTCCTGATGCACACCCCTTATGTATTTATAGTCAGCCACCAGGTCCCCCCTGAGCCTGCATTTTCCAGGCTCGACAGTCCCATGGCTCTCAGCCTCTCTTCATGAGGCCTATTCTCTTGCCCTCTGATCATGCATATGGCTCTCCTCTGGACTCTCTCAAACTTCTCGACATCTTTCTTGAATTGTGGAGCCCAGAACTGGATGCACTACTCAAGCTGCAGCCTCACCGACCAATGCCAAGTACAGCAGTAGGATGAGATTTACTTGAGAAGATCTATGGGTGCAAGCCAGAGTTTCTGCCAAGATCATTCCTGTTCCCCCTTTCAGCCTTCTTCTTTGCCACTTGCCAAGTCCTGCCCTGGATCTTGCCTCAACTTTGTCTCCAACTTTGGTTTTAGTTCATGCCTCAGTATTGCTCTCAAGCTCCTCAATTTCTAGTTTCTGCCAGCTGTTCCTAGTATCCTGGTTCTTGGTCTCTGGTGCTGTCTTAATGACAATTTCTGGTTACTGGGTTCTCCAGTAATATGAACACCTCCTCCTACCCATTTTCTAGACCACCTATGCCTCAGTCCGGGCATTTTTTTTCTTCAGTCATTACCTATTTCCAATCAGTGAGCTCCCCAGTGGCAGCAGATTTGTGCTACCATGTCTTCCTGCATGATATCCAAACCCTCACCTATACTGATGATGCCTCCTATCTTTGTATCATCAGCGCACTTCACCAGCCCACATCTACCTATTTGCCAAAGCCAGTAATCATTAGACAAGACTAATCCTCAGACTTCTATTTAAGGAACTCTGTTAGTAACTCCTCTGCAGCCTGATACTTCCTCTTTCAGCGTGGCCTGTTATCCCTTTTAATCTAATTCTTTACCCATATTTATCATTTTACTGCTAATCTACATCTTTTCCAGATTAACTAATGATATCCCATGTGGCACCATATTAAATGTCTTACTGCAGTTCAGAACGATAGAATCTACTGCATTACCTTTGTCTAGAAAATAAGCTTTCTTGTCAAAGAAAGGCATGGGCTTAGTCTGACATGTTCTGTGTTTGGTAAAAATGTATTCCATGTTACTTCTGTGTCCTGAATTATTCTTTCCTTCAAAACTTGTTTTCTAGCCCTGTATACTTTTGTGGTCAGAATAGTGAGCTTGTAGGTGACTGGATCATATTCAAGGATAGAAGCCTTATTCTCACCCTCTGGAGCAGGCCGTTGTCTTATTAACCAAACGGAGCTCTCAAACAGACACTGAAAACTGCAACCAGACAAGCCACCAGGCAACAGACAGACAAACAGATTCACTTTCTGCAAGCCATAATGATTTTGCCCCCATATTTGTCTCAGTTTCAACTTAGAAGGAAGTAGGAAATGTTTGTTCATCTCATTCAGTCCCCTGCCTCCCTGCTGATGGCTCATCTATAAATTAGATTCATAGATTCATAGATGTTAGGGTCGGAAGGGACCTCAATAGATCATCGAGTCCGACCCCCCTGCATAAGCAGGAAAGAGGGCTGGGTTCAGATGACTCCAGCTAGATGGTTATCTAACCTCCCCTTGAAGACCCCCAGGGTAGGGGAGAGCACCCCCTCCCTCGGGAGCCCGTTCCAGACCTTGGCCACTGGAACTGTGAAGAAGTTCTTCCTAATGTCCAATCTAAATCTGCTCTCTGCTAGCTTGTGGCCATTATTTCTTGTAACCCCCGGGGGCGCCTTGGTGAATAAATACTCACCCATTCCCTTCTGTGCCCCCGTGATGAACTTATAGGCAGCCACAAGGTCGCCTCTCAACCTTCTCTTGTGGAGGCTGAATAGATCCAGTTTCTCTAGTCTCTCCTTGTAGGGCTTGGTCTGTAGGCCCTTAACCATATGAGTGGCCCTTCTCTGGACCCTCTCCAGGTTATCCGCATCCCTCTTGAAGTGCGGCGCCCAGAATTGCACGCAGTACTCCAACTGCGGTCTGACCAGCGCCCAGTAGAGGGGAAGTATCACCTCCTTGGACCGATTCGTCATGCATCTGCTGATGCACGATAAAGTGCCATTGGCTTTTTTGATGGCTTCGTCACACTGCCAACTCATGTTCATCTTGGAGTCCACTAGGACTCCAAGATCCCTTTCCACTTCCGTGTCACCCAGCAGGTCATTCCCTAGGCTGTAGGTGTGCTGGACATTTTTCCTCCCTAGGTGCAGCACTTTGCATTTCTCCTTGTTGAACTGCATCCTGTTGTTTTGTGCCCACATGTCCAACCTGTCCAGATCTGCTTGCAGCTGTTCCCTGCCCTCCAGCGTGTCCACTTCTCCCCATAGCTTTGTGTCATCTGCAAACTTGGACAGAGTACATTTCACTCCCTCGTCCAAGTCACTGATGAAGACATTAAAGAGTATCGGTCCAAGGACTGAACCCTGTGGGACCCCACTTCCCACACCCTTCCAGGTCGAAACCGACCCATCCACCACGACTCTCTGGGTGCGACCCTCCAGCCAATTCACCACCCACCGGACTGTGTAGTCATCCAAGTCACAGCCTCTTAACTTGTTCACCAGTATGGGGTGGGATACCGTATCGAAGGCCTTCCTGAAGTCTAAGTACACGACATCCACCCCTCCTCCTGTGTCCAGGTGTTTCGTAACCTGGTCATAAAAAGAAAATAGATTGGTCAGGCACGATCTGCCTGCCACGAACCCGTGCTGGTTTCCCCTCAGCATAATTTGTCCTGCCGGGCTCTCACAAATGTGAACCTTGATAATTTTTTCAAAGACTTTGCCAAGTCTTTGAAAACTCAGGAAAGTTCATCTGAATTAAATAAAGGTGTGCATATAAAATGGTTTAGTTTAAATCACTAGGTCCTGTGCGCATTTATATGCAGAATGACTGGCCTTAATTTGGTTTAGCTTACTTCATTTTAAATATTAATTCAGATTAGTTTTCCAGAGTGCCCCTATATGGACAAACCCAACAAGGGTTGGGTTCACAGTCACAGTCTGTTTACAGACGTGTAGTTTCTCAAGATAGAAAGGACTATCCTGATTATTTAGTCTGACTTCTGGGCTGTGTTATGGAAGTAAATTCCACCCAGTGAGTCCTGCATCTTTGCAGTGCTTCTTCGTGCCTTGGTTTTTGTATCGGTTGAAGTAGGTCTTGAGACTTACCATCCTCTTCTGAGAGCTTTGGAACCTGGAGGGGAAAAAGCCTGGTCTCCTGCTAGGGCTGTGTTTCTGCCAACGTAGGTCAGTAGTTGGACAGGTAAGTGAAAGTGCCCTCTACAGGCTTCAGTCGGCCCATTAATGTTGGAGAAGTTCATACCCTGGGATCCTTTTCAGGCTAATACGAATGCACAAGGTCACATTCCTTTCACAATTGTAAGGTTAGTTTTCTAACCTCAAGTGCTGAGAGACTTGTTTTCTTTTCCAAAATTATGATTGAGATTGATTAGGATTTATTCTTTTTAATTAAGATTGAGAGGCTGGAGCCCCAGGGTACAGCAGATTCTTAATTAAGATTGAGAGGCTGGAGCCCCAGGGGACAGCAGAATAAAGAAGAAAGACAATTATGTAGCAATTACACAGCCTCATAATCACATTATACATGGGGATATAGCCCAAGACATATCAAATCCATTGTAAATAGGTCATCAGAAACCCATGAGATGTTAACAGATTTGGTCACTACAGTCAGAGTCCAGAGGTGAGAACTTGTTACCAGTCTAATCCACAAAGAATGTCCCATTTAGGGATCCTTACTGAGAATGCCTTTGTGATGCGTGACTTCACAGCCCTATGACCTCACGGCACCTGTTCCTCTTAGTCTGTCTCTGCTCTTGAGACAGACAGCATCATCTCTGCAGGGCTTTTGGGGCATGTTGAGAAAAGATATCCTGGGGAAGAGCTTGAGCCGTTAGACTCTTGAAAGGTGGGCCCCACCACCATTTATCTGAATTTTTAAAAAGAATGAAAATCCTAATTCATTTGATTTAATATCTCCTTTTGTTTTTAGGGATTTGGTGGGAACCACTGGTAACAGGTAGAAAGAGCTATGGAAACACTCTCACCTCAAGTGAGTATTTCACTGATCAAATCATCCATCTCTTCCTTGCTGGTAAGTGGATTCTTTCATATTCAAATGAACTTCTATCTTCAACCATATATCCAAATCGCATCGAGTTAAGGGAAAGACTTCCACTGACTTCAGCTCTATGCAGACCATGTACTGGAGGGCAGCTTATATGCAGTTCCTGAAATCTGTTGAGTGTATTGGGAGTGTAGAGCAATGCCATTAAAGTGGTGGTGATGGTCCTGTAGGGGACTGAATATCTTGGAGGAGATCTTGAAGATCTTCCTCTCCTGGGAAATGGGTTTGAAAATACCTGGATCTTGGTGCCTTTCAAAGCCAACTTAACATGCTTCTCAGGAGCCCGTTGTATTAACCTGTGGGACACATTTTGTTAGTGAAAGTTGACTTAAATTCAACAAAGCAAGAATTTGGCCCATCACTTCCATCAACATCCAGAGAGGAGCTAAATCTATCAAAGGCAGTGAAACCCACTCTTTCTGCCCTTTTGTTTGAAGCCAGAACATAAACAGTGATCTCAAGAACACTTTTGATCGCTTGCTGCATACAGGAGCAAGTTGGGAAGTTACAGTAGGTAAGCATCCGAGTTTTACGGCATGCTCTCAGGATCATTTGGCTGGATTTCCTTTTCTACATGGATACTTTCTCAACCTGAAGAAACTCTTGTACTTTGGCATTTTAATTGCATTATTATATTTTGTCCTGTGGATGCAGACCTTCTGTGATTGCAATGGGATTTGTTCTTTTTGCCTGGTTCTGCATATTTAATTCTCACTGCAAGTTGTTTCTAATTAAGCCCTTTTGACCTGCACCATTTTTGCCTTTGACCATGAATGGGAGCAGGCTTGGAACCTGATTAAATATAAGAATTTAGGCCTAGGCAGCAACAACCCCCCTCCCCCCACCCCCCCACCCCCAGGACTTAGGAGTATGAATTCCATTTTCAACCAATTTAGTAAGGCATTTTAATAAATGTTATTTCCTGTGTGCATTGGGGAACTGCATTATGTTAGAGAACATGTGAATGAATTCAGTGGTCAATGCATATTTGTACCTAGTGTAGGCAAGAAAATTGGGATTAACCAGAGCTAGATAACACCCGAAGAAATGTGGTTTTATTTCTTGTTCTCCTGTAGATTTCCTCTGTGACCTGTGGTAAGTTGCTTGGAGCCTTACTGTCTCAAATATTTTGCTCTGCAATAGGGATAATAGCAATAAACCGGGACCATTAGTGTATATAGAGCTGGAACACTACTGTTCTTGTTTATATGATGACTCCTGATGCAAAGGTTAAACCCCACTGCTCTTACTGTATTTTCTCCCATACAGCCTGGTCTGGAATATAAGATGCCCCTGGTTTTTTGAAAGGCAGAATGAAGAAAAGAAAGATTTTTCCAAATTATTCCATATTTTTTCAGTTGCCTTACCCTTCCATTTTCTACTTAAATAAAGCTGCAACTCTAGCTGCCACTGAAGACTGTACTAAAAGGGTAGATCTATAATTTTGAAAAGAACTGAATTGGTTCCAAGTTTATTATACGTAGAAAATCAGCTTCCCTGCTTAATACACCCTTTCCAATTTGGGGAGGAGGGTTTGGGGGTTTTTTTGTGGGGGAGGGGGGAAGATGTGTATTGTACGTGAGAAATTATGGTAATATCAAAGCATGAACTCATTGGCCTGGCTCCATCAAAAAGCGGTAAATGAACGAGTCACATAGAGCCTGTTAGTTCTAGGCTACTGCAACTTAAGCTTCTGTTTTTGGTTGGAGGACTTGTGTCCTCTTTAGATCAGCAGAGATGACCCCATATAATGTACAAGTATGTCAGTAAGTTACACCGCTACTTCTTGGGCTAAAGGATTGCATTCATGACTTCAGTGGCAGCAGCAATCATAAACCATTGCGGGACTTCAGGAGGTGCAAAGTGATATTTACCCCCTTGTTAGTTAAAACCTGGCCACGTGTTTCTGACACAGCTCATTTTCCAAGTTCAAAGACAGGCCCTGGACATCAAGAGCTCTTTTTATCCCCAAAATAATCAGGATAGTTTACACATTTGTAACTCTTCACAGTTATTTTACCTGCCACTGAAGTGCAGCCACTTTTAGGCTGCTATTTAAGAATGCAGAGTAACAAGATCCAACAATTTAGGATGGGACATGAAGGATACCATCTTGCCAGTGGAAGGTGCAGAGGGCTTTAGATACACACAGTGTAATTGGCCAAAATGGGCTCCAAGCAGCACATAGGTCCTGTGTTAGATCTTTCTGTGAGATTTTTACCAGCCCTGGTGGGACGGCGTGAATGTGATGTCATCTTGTTCAATCGCAGATTACCGCACGGGCCCTGCTAACCAGGGGCCCCACTTGCGGCTTGCTCCTCATTGGCAGGAAAGTGAAAGCCGCAGTTTTAAACTTGACACTGTTTTTGTCTCCCCATTCATGGGCAACAAGCAGCTGGGCTGCCAGGCGTAGGTAGAGGGAGAAAGAGTTATTTGGGTGGGCTGAGCATGTGTGCGCACCTCCCCGGCAGGTAAGTCTGTGGGGGAAGTGATGGGGGGAGGGGGAATAGCCTTGCGAGGGGCGGGACAGGTCAAGGCCCCAGCAGTGAGGGAGGGAGCAGGGCACAGGCAGGCCCCGCTCACCCCAGCTCCTGCTCCTGCCTGTGCCCTGCTTCCTCCCCTACTGCTGGGACCTGGATCCTGCCTCTCTGCCCCCGCAGCAGTGAGGGATGGAGTGGGGCTGGGACAGGGGCAGGCCCTGCACAGCCGGGGCAGGGCACGGGATGGAGCGATGAGTGGCTTGTCTGGGGGGTGCCTGGTGTGGGGCGGGGGTGGCGGCTTCTGCTGCTGCACATACCCTGGGAGGGCATGGGGGCTGTGTGCCCAGGATCGGCGTGTCAGATGAGGGTGGACTGTGGGCTGGGGCTGGGCTCTTCCTGTTGGGGGGTTGGGCAGCACTGTACTTGGGGAAGGTGGCGGTGGCAGTGGGAGTGGGGGCTATGGTGATTTGTGGGTTTGCTGCAGCCCCCCAGCAAAGCCCCACTTCCAGTGCCACTGTCACCTGCTCCAAGTGGTAGCCCAGCCCAGCCCAGCCCAGCCCAGCCTCTCCTGCCCGCTCACCCCCGCTGGGAAGGACCTGGTGCAGCCCTGGCCCTAGCCCACAGTGGCAGCCCCCCCATGCAGATCTGGGGGCCCATGCCCCCCACTCCTCCCAGGGTGCTCATATCAGCAGGAGCTGTGCCTCCCAGACACACCCCAGACATGCTGCTCACAGTTCAGTCCTACGCCCTGCCCTGGCTGTACAGCGCCTGCCCCAGCCCCAGCTCCAGCCCTACTCCCTCCCTTACTGATGTGCGCACGTCTCTTCCCACCATTGCTGCAGCCACCGGAAGCCCGTGGCTGGGCTGCCTCATGGCCCTACTGCTGCTGTGCATTTGGGCAGACTAAGCCCTGTTAGCCCCACCACCACCCTTCTGCTGCTTATGCTGCCAGGGTCCCTCAGCCAGTCAGAGATAGGGAACAAAAATGGTGCCAAGTTTAAAACCACAGCTTGTGCTTCCCTGCTGAGAAGTGAGCTGGAAGCGGAGCCCCTCCACCAGTCAGTGATGGTGGGAGGGGGCGGTGGGAACCTGCAAAATTAAAGGTGTTACTGCACACATGGGCAGGAGCCCTGCTGGGTGGCCAGCTTCCTGCAGGTAAGGCTAATGTGGGGGAAGGGGTTGTGGGGAAGCAAGGGGTTGGGGCAGATCAAGGCCCCCCCGTTGAGGGAGGGAGAGGGGTAGGGGCAGGGGCTGGGGGCGACGGTGGCCCGCCCGGGCGGGGGAGGG